TCAAAGAATCCAGTATCGCGTTCTTGCAGTTTTACTTGTTCACAGTGAAGGTAGATGCATCGAGTTTCTTAAATTAATAAATGTCCCTAAAAAATTAATTTTTCCATTAGGTAGATATCTGATGTGTTAAATAAATGTCAGAGTTAGGCCACTAGCAAGGGGGTCAAATATAACCAAGTCTGTTCTCCCTTTATCCCTGGACCTTATAATCGGGCCTGATGTTACACGTGGGCTAATAACCTGGGGAAAAGGTCTGTGCCACTGAGTGAACACATGGAATGAGACCATCAGATCATGTCCCGTAAAACAGCTCTCACCCAATATTAAGCTTTGCTAAATAATGCTAAGGGTACAGGCAATTGACAGATTCAGATAAAGTAAACTCTGGAGTCTCAAGAGTGACTCCCAGGTCCCATCTCCCCTCACTGACACACACTTCTCCCCCAGAATAATAGGGAAGGATGAGAGGATCACCTCTCACCGTGTAGCATTTCAATTCTGAAAAATCTGTCTTTCATACCCCAGAGAGCTGTATAGCTAATGTGATGTTCTTTAAGGAGCCCTGATTCATAGAAGCTGAGTTCCATTTACTAGGGCTAATCCTTAGCTAGAGACATCTAAACATGCTTACTCTCTTTACCGAGAGGCCCACTTGACAGGGAATTCGACCTGGTTACTTGCCTTTTTTCCCTTCCCATGGGGCACACCCCGGAGAAGGGAGTGAAAGGATCACAGGCCAACTTCCACCCAGCCACTAAGCAGTTGTGTGACTTCAGGCAAGTATGTGCTTGGTATCTTCATCTGCAGTAATAGTCAGTTACTTCTGTTACTGCTTTATAGTTGACAAAACATTTTCACACCTATAAATGCATACTTTAAAATAACACATTATGATTATGATTATTATTATTTTATAAAATATTGTACCTACCACCGAAACCAATTTTAAATTTATCTACAGCTTTCTCTGTCAGCATTTTATTTTGAGCCATCTTCATTGCTTACCTGGGTTCCTGCGGTAGTTTTCTAGCTGGTCTTCCACCTCCTTCATTGCCTTCTCCTTTGTGTATTTTCCACACAACAGCCCAAGTAATCTTCTTAAAAAGTAAATCCAATTATGTCACCCCTACTTATAACCTGTAGTGGCTTCCCGTGGCTCTTAGGAAAATTGTGAAATACATGATCTGCCTCTTTTTCTAAACTCTGTTTGATTCACTTTGCTTTAGCCACAGAGGCCTTTCTGTCCTCAAATAGGTACTTTTTTCCTGCCTCAGGTCTTTGCATAGGCCGCTGTCCTCACCCAGAATACTTGTCTTTCCCTCACCTCTTCTACTTTCCCTGCTTTATCCTTGCCCATTCTTCAGCATCTGTCTAAATGACACTTCCTGACCTTCTAGTATAAATCAGGGCCCCCAATCCTCATCTTCAATGCACTCTTTAGTTTTTCTTTATCACTCACATTACAATTTGTCTGATTATTTGTTTACTGCCTGTCTCCCCAGGATCCAGTAAGTTTCTCAAGAGCTGTTTTTTTCACTAGTTGTCCCCAAGGTCTACCAGAATAGCTGGCACATAGTAGCTGCAAAGGCTCAGAAGGATTAAGCAACTTGACCAAAGTGATGCTTTTGACCTGATAGTAACATAATTTCAAAGCCCTCTAAAGCACCACAGGTTTGAGATTGTATCTTGAACTACCATCTTATTCACCCCAACACTCCGGAGGGCCATGTGAGAGAAGGAAAGAATTATTTTATCTGCTCCAACTCAATTCTGAGCAGGCAACTGAGTATATTTATTGTTAGCAAGGCAGTATTAGGTAGTAATTAAAAGGACAGACTCCAAAGCAGACTCTCTGGGTCCAGATCCCAGCTCTGCATTTACTAGTTGTGTGACCTTGAACAAGTTACTTAACCTCTCTGTACCTCAGTTTCCTCATCTGTAAAATCAAGAGGATATATAACGATGTCCATATCACAAGGTTGTTTTAAGTATTAAAGGAGTAACTATATATAAAGCATTTAACACACTGCCTAGCAGACCATTAGAACCATATGCATGTTTGGAATTATTCTGTTTCATTATTTGGAAAAATAATACAGCATATGATTTTTTTTTTAATTAAAAATATTCAAAAGGCTATAGTGAAAAAATAAATCTTCCTCCTCCATCAATTTCTCAATTTTCACCAGTCCCCTAATTCTTCCCAGGGGAAACCACAGCTATTAAATTCTTGGGGCTCCTTCCAGAGGTGTTCTGTGCATATACAATTCTGTGTGTGTGTGTGTGTGTGTGTGTGTGTGTGTGTGAGATTGCGCGCGCATGCGCGTTTTTGCCCCAAGGTCTCAACAATCTAAATATCTCTGTTTTCTGTTTGGGGGAGTTCAGTTTCTAGCAGGGTCTGTTTTGTTTTTGTTTTGTTTTTCTGTTTTGTGACGGAGGTTATATTTTGTTTCTGTGAGATAAGAGAAAGTGAATCTGTATTGACTCAGAGTTAGGCCATCAGTGATTTTCCGGAACACCTGGCCCTTGTAGGGCTGTGCTGCAGTTAGTGTTTGTTCCTGCTGTATCAATATGTGCCTTCTGAATCTGGGGCCTACTTTCAAGGTGAAGCCTCTTTCTGAAATATATGGAATGCTCCAGTGATGTGAATCCAAGAGAATTCTGAGAGCTATAATCAGTTCTGGACTTAAGTGATTAGAAAATATGGAAAGCACTTGAATGCTTTAAAATTGCTCCATAGCATGCAGCCAAGAAAAGATTGCTCTGCTACTTTTCCCCCCAAATTCACAATCATTTTCCATTCTGAGAACAGCCAAAAAATTAACCCACAGCTCTCAGAAATAGTCATCTCTCTTTTAGTTTGCATCTAACCATTTGAATTCACATGCCCTGTGCCAAACTGTCACCTTTAACAATGTAGAGCACATCACCAAGTTGAAGGCATGAACACTGCAATAGCTTCCCTGTTGCACCAAATGACAGTTCACTGAAGTTCCTGGCACCCACCCAGCTGAGGAGTACATTGCCACCACAAGGCAATGTACTGTCATTATTCAGTGTTCACAAAGGGAAGTTTTCAACTTCATTTGAAAACATCATCTAGGACAGGTGGCCTATGGGAAGATATTTCCCTTTGTCTCATCTCTGCCACTCAGGTGTTTTTGTCTTCCAAACTCTAGTGATTAAGCTCTTGCTTAAAGCTTTAATTGGTGGTTGGTTTGGCCTGTGTGCCTAGGTAACAAGATCTAGCAGTATTTGTGTTTTGGTTCTCTATTGACATGTAAAAAAGTACCTAAGACTTAGTGGCTTAAAAATGCCACCATATTGTTTATTGCTCATGATTTCATGGATCAGAAATGTGGGCAGGGATCAGCAGGATAATACTTCTGTTCCACATGCTATCAGTGGAGGTCATTTGGTATTTTTCAGCTAGTACACTGACAGGTTAGACAGTACAAAAGGGCCTCACCCACGTGTCTGGCATGTTTGTAGGCACAGCTAGAAGACTGAGGTCAGCTGCACCCCTCTGACTCTCCATGCTGTCTTAGAGCCTTTCCACATGGTTGGACTTTTTACATGGCAGCTAAAGGTTCCAATAGCAAACATTCTAAGAGGCTCAGGCAGAAGCTGCAAGGCTGCCAATGACCTAGCCCTGGAATGCCAAACCGTCATTTCTACAACTTTTTATCAGTTAGTCATGAAGGCCAGTAAAGACTGAAGGAGAAGAGGAGACTCCACTTCTCAATGGGAAGATATCAAACGATTTGAAATCATCTTTAATCTAACCCAGTCTCTCTCAGGGACACACACTACTTACTGATCAGATCATCTGTTCACTATTCATTGGTGTGCGCTGGGCAGACCACATTGTGTGGAAGGAACAAAGCCATGGTCAGCTTGCCTTAGGTAAAGGTTTAGTTCAAATAAGGCTTAGCAATGGCCACAAAATTCTGAACAGGACATTGTTCATGAAAAGAAGGAATTTGCTTAAGGCTCATGTAAATGGTTGAAAGATTTTGTTTCTTTTATTGGAAATCCCTGGAGAACTAGAATTATCAGACTTTGAGATCACAACATATCTATCTAAATAGATCTGTCTAATCAATTTAGTGTCCCATATTGATTTTAACATTCTCTCTAAACAAGCCAGTATACTTACCGAGGTATACATGCTTATGAGCCTAAAATAAAGACCCTGGATGTTCTCACTTTCGGAGTGAGAAGTAGCTTCTACTATCAATTTGTCCAATAATAATACTGCCAACTAACATTTGAAGAATGCTTATCATAGCCCAGGCACTATACTGAGCGCTCTACATAAACCATCTCATTTTATTCTCACATTAGCCTTACTCCATCATTCAGAGAGGGACA